CAGTTAAACCTAGAAGAAAAATAGCAGAACAGTATTTAAAGTAAATATATGTCTTTTTTTTGTATAGTACGTAGCAAAGATTTTAACGAGACTAATCTTCTAATGTCATTGGAAATCTTATCCAAAATAAGGCAATACAAGGGGATTGATATTCATTTTCAAAATGTAAGAAAAATTCAATTTGGAACATATTTTAATCAAAGAAACTGTTAGTATTAGTATTAGTTATGTTTTTTTTTCTAAGATTTTAGACAAACAGAGCTTATTCTTCATTTACAGGTAGAAGAAAATACTATCTGCAGTTTTTTTTATAGTTTTAGATTTCATATAGAATTATTTTGCTTAAGTATTCATGAAATGAACTTTTTCTTTTTTTTGTATTACAGATTTTGTATTTCAGAATTATATTGAGGCTTTGAATGTAGATTTTACAATCACTAATATTGAGAAGAATTTGCTTAGTCATGAAGAAAACTCGATTCATGACAAAAGTGATTGAGTGCTATCAGATTTAGCTACGACTATTGAAGCTTTATGTTCGAATTTCACTCACTGTTAGAATACATTCTGTGGCTATGACAGACCATCGTCTGCTTGAATACACATCTTCATGTGATCCATCATTACTTTATAGGTCATGGTCTACATTCTGTTTTGGTCCGTTTTTATTTACTTTTCTCTGTGTCAGCGGTTTCGAGATTTGCATCTAAGATTCAGTACTTCATTTAGTTGTTAAATACAAGTAAACATATTGTACATAAAAAAAAACAATTCATATGAAAAGACTCTAGTAAGGAATTTAGTATCAATACAAGACAGTATTAAAGAAAGCATGCTGCTATATGAGATATTAATAGTGACGACGTCAGGATGGGCTCAGTCTTCCCTGACAGAAAATCCTGGCGCGGCTACTAGATATTAATGATAGCAGTTTAACCAAAAGTATCATAAATCGTTTACAATTAAAAGATATCTCTGTTTACAATCAAAAACGTCGTATTCGATAAAGTTGATCGTTTTCTATTAAACAATAAATGACTAGGAAATTTTAGATCTTTTCTCGACTGTCAGATGATAAACAAAAATAATTTGTTTAAATATCTATTTAAATTCTATGCAAGATGTGTTCTGATAAACTTTTGAAAATTTGTATACTAATACTTGACCTGAACGAAGAAATGAACAAGTTTGTCATACTTTCCAAATTCTAATCCGTATTATTAGGGTGGGTGGAGGTGTGGGTGGAGTGTGGGGTGTGGGCGTCGGTGAAAAGATGAACAAACCCAAACCCACACCTCACACCTACGCCCACACCCTTTTGAAGTTGATGATTTCTATAAAAAGAAGAATACTATATGACGATTGAAGCCTTAAGAAGCTTCTCTTCCATATAAATACTTCCTACTTCTTAACTAATGTCGAAAACAGTGGCAATCATCTGCCACAAGTGAAGAATCTGCTGTTGAAAGGCAGAAAAAGTCGAATTCTCTTTTTCTCTTGCACGCTCGAAGAAAGTGAAAGAGAAATCGATTTACTTAACAAATAAAACACTCATGTAAAAAAAATAATCTTTATTAATCATCAAATGATAGACGCAGTTTTCTTTCCAAAAACCAATGAATTGTATCATATAATAAAATAAGCTGTTTGAATACTATCTATAATTCGATGACAAAAGTTGCGTACGAAGCTTGTACTCTTATTGCTACAAAAGAAGTGCTTCTTTATTCGAATTCTCAAATAAATAATGTTCCATAATTTCCACGAACGTGAGTATTGGTGTACTATGGCATGGATCTAAGTGTGATTGAATCTAGACTAAGTCTCTAAGTAACATCCACACATCACACCAACATCTACACCCACTCATCTTTAAAATGAACGAAAAAACTAATTTTGAATGAGATAAGAGAAACAAAATGAAAAAAGCAATTGTTTGAAAATTTTTTGTTGTTTAAATATAATTAAAAGTGAGTTTTTTGTGGGTCTGAAGAAACTGGCATGATCGGTTTCGACCTTGGTTAACAGTCTCATCAGATGGCTTATCTATTTGTGATTCAATAAATAATCCAAACAAGATATGTCTTCACTGTTACAAAACAAATTTGTAATACAAGATTCATTGATTGGTGAGAGACACACATCGATGTCAACACTCAGATCCATGACTACACTCACGCACACACCATCTTAAAAGAGTAGAACGCTGAAATAATCGAACGATTTCAGTGATGATAATGAACTGACAACAGGCATGCTAGTTGAATTGAAACAGATCAATATACAATCGATTTCATTGTCCAATCGGAGTGACACCTATAATAAAAAAATCTTTTTCAAGTTATCTGATCATGGTATTTTGATTATTTCTTTTTCTTTCAATTGACAAAAACAGTTGTCAACACTGATGTTATTTAGTTATGATATTTGTTCTGCGTAATCATCAAATTTATCCTTGAATAAATGCCCGTGCTTTCAAGGTGGTGAGAAAAGGAGCGATGACAAAATCAATATTATTCATTCTTCGCAATCATAACCAAAAACTAGAACAATCACTCAAATCTTTTTGCATTGTCATCGTCTATTCGATCAATACTGTGATGCTTAATTGTATTCGCCTGATCTTCTTCTTGCTCCTCTATTTCCAAATGCAGACATTAATAGCTACGGTCCCATACATGGATGGGCTTACGACAGAGAATGTGTGGCTCTCGATGCCTGATGGTGTTCGTCTTTCGGCTACACTCGCAATGCCCATCTCGAAACACAGTGACGAAAAATTTCCTGTTCTTCTCGAATATAAGCCCTATCGAAAAGATGATAGTTTCTACAACTTCAATCAACCGAACATTTACTATCTAGCACGGCGAGGTTTCATTGTAAGTAACCCAACCGGATAGAACACTAGATGTGTGTGTATGTGTGTACATCTTTTCTCTCAGGTAGCCAAAGTTGATATTCGTGGCACAGGCTCGTCCGAAGGTATTCTCATCGAACGTGAATACACGACGCAAGAATTGAACGATTGTGAACATGTAATCGAGCAGCTTGCTGAGCATCCTCGCTCGAATGGTCGTGTGGGTATGTACGGCTTGAGTTGGTCGGCATTCAACTCTCTAATGATGGCCACATTGCGACGGCCACCGGCTCTTCGAGCTGTTTTCGCTGCACATGGCTCCGAAGATTTGTACAAAAATGATATTCATTATGGCGACGGTATACTTCATCAAGACGAGTATATACTTTCAGTCGACCATGAAAATGCATTGCCGGCAACTCCCAACTATGAGATGAATGAGCAATGGATAAAACAACGATTTACAGTGAGACCTTGGATCGATGTCTATCTCGAACATCAACTGGATGATTCTTTTTGGAAGGAAAATTCGATAAAATATGCCTATGACAATCTTACTATACCTGTTTATCTTCTCGCAGGGCTTTACGATGCGTAAGTGTTATAGATCAAAAAAATTTCACTTGCTATCGCTTAACGTTCTATAGCTATAAAGATTTTGCAATCAATATATATGAAAATGCGCGAAAAGTATCGCCCAAGATTAAAGTTGTCGTTGGTCCATTTGTGCATGCAATGCCTGAATACTCTAATCGCCATCCAGGCCCTGGTTTCGATGGCAAGGCGGAGATGGTTCGATGGTTCAATTATTGGCTCAAGGATGATAACGAGAACAGTGACATTATAAGTGAACCAGATATCACACTGTTCATTCGCACAAGTCTGACGACGGGCACTTATCGCTATGAGTCTCAATGGCCAATTACTAGACAGAGAATACACCGGATGTTCATGAGTAAAGGACAAAAGTTGGTTGAACAAGTAGCAACAACGGAAGAAGAACGAGGAAAAAATAACGATGTGAACACGCTCGAATATCGGCCGTGGATTGGTTTCGAAGGTGGTGCATGGTTGGGCGGACTGACAGGTGATCAACGATCTTTTGACAAATATTGCCTTATCTATGAGAGTGATTTGATTGAGGAGAAAATTGAAATAGCTGGCTTTGTCACAGTATCTCTTCAGGTAAGTTGATGCTGCGTCTGGAAGAAAATTCGTTAATTAAAGATCTATTGTTGAGAAACAAACTTACAAGTTTGACCGATTATTGATAGGTATGCTACATTACTATTACTGTTAATTAGTAATCATTTTTTAAGCTTAAAGTTATACAAGTAAGAAAGTAATAAAATAATAAAATAATAAGTCTTAGAAGTATTAACTGTTATGCTGTAATGACTTATTACCAGTAATAAGTTATAACCACCAAAAAGTAAAAAAATTAATAAGAAAGTAAGAAAGTAATGCACATATAAATAGCATTTCAACAGCTACGTAGGAATATGATTCCTATAAGTTTTCACGGGCTATTTAGGGGTAGTGTCTATAATTTTCCAAGACTGTTTAGAGATGATGCTTGAACTAGATCATATTTTTAACGTGACTTGATCGAAACAAGTTTTAGGTAGTTTCTCTTAACCCTTAATAATAAGAAGAAAAGATCAGCAGTCATCATTGAGTTCGATTAAATTGGTTGTCAACGAATCACTTAAAACTTGCAATTAAAGTGTACGTTTCTCTTTTAAATACTTCAATTGGAATTAGATGATTGTGTGATTAGCGTGATGCAAATACAATATAATATTAATAACTTTCTTATAGAAAGATTATTATTCGAAAATAACGATTTTTCATTAAGTTTGACTAAACACTTTCAGAATTGAGGAATTCGTTTGTCCACGATATTCATTTAACCAATCAAAATTCCCTATGCTTTTCCTATAGTTAACTAATCGAAAAGCATGCTGGAATCAGATTGACTAAACGAATACCGTGGACAAACGGATTATTTAAGCCCGAAAGTGTTAGATCAAGCTTTATAGAATATCGTTATTTCCCTGAAATATCCTTCACCTATCGAAAAATTAGGGTAAAGAATTTTCACTTATTAGTTACCTAGTAACGTAACGGTAACTATACTCCCTTGATCAATGTATCAGTTTACGAAATTGACTCAATATTTCAATCGAATCAAAATACAAGGTATTCTATATTATAAGAGAATAGAATCATTGAAGATCTATCGAGCAGTTCAATCTTTATGATATTTAAAAAGTACTTTACGATAGTTTATGCTACTTTAGGTACTTGAAAGTATATAAGTATCATGTTTTGTCACTGCTGTATTTTTTCCACTATGAAAGTTTAAATTCGAAAAAGATCTCTGATCAGGAAAAGGGTGTATACTCCTAATTTTGCTACTATGATGTTTGTTTTCATCTACACATAAATGACTGTATTGAATCAAAGAACATCTGTGGGTCCTAATATTTCATAAGAAAGTTTGTAATGATAAAGAACTGGGATATTTCTACATCATCGGAATTTATTTCAAATCCATTTTCGAGTCAAAAACTCCCGAGATATTTTAATTGAGTTAATCCAAAGCTGAGCATGCTCTTTCATATTTGCTTCTGTATTAAATTTTAAGTAGTCACTTGTGATCAACGGCTCGAGTTATATTTGTCTAAATAAGCATGCATGGATGGATGGTTATTGAAAGCAGTTTCTTTAATCTATTCTATTGTCCAAGGGAAGTACAAATATTTCAGAAACAATATTTTAATAAGAACTAAATATTTCTCTCAGTAAATAGAGCTCGACCTTGTGATCACAATTGACTACCTAATTTTGGCAACAGAATGAAATCTAATGTGAAACAGTTTCGACTTGTGACTTAAAAGAATTACAAACATAATTTTTTGCCATGAATATTATGTTGGCTAATATCGGAGCCCCCAAGATCTTTATATTCATAATCAGCTTGAAATTCTCTACCAAAACAGAATACTTTTCAGATCATTTCGGGGAACACATTCTAATATGTCTTCTTGTTACAAATAAGTATTAAATGCTTGGGAATACCTGAAATCTTCCTATTTAAACTACAGTAAAGGTCTTTTCTACGTGTAAACTCTGAAACGTACACAAGTACAATGGCTGATTTCATTTTAAGTTCATGTCAGCATGGTACTCGAGATAGCTGCTCGGGTCGATTAATCTAAATATCTTCTTTTGAAATAAGAAAAATGGGCACTGTAAAACTGTAGCTTGTATCTGGATGCGACCATATCAGAATATTGTCGTCAGATAAAACTAGTTACATTTCGAACGTTTGCCAATTTGTTCAATGCTTTATATCTACGAGCGAAAGATCCATTTTTTTACAAGAGAATGTATATATAGGAAGATTGTTGTACTTTTCTGCCCTGTCGTTTCTGTGTCTGTAGGTGAGCGCTACTGCTCGTCTGGCTCACTGGATTGTGCGCCTCGAAGATCTTGATATCGACGGTCAAGTGTGGCTGGTAACCGTAGGTGCATTGAATGGCGCTCAACGGCAAACACCACCGATCTATCTTGAACCGAATCAAGTATATACACTGAATTTTCAGCTTCACTTTACCACATGGACCTTCTTGCCTGGTCATCGCATTCGTGTTGCTATTTCCAATTCAATGTTTTACAGCAACTGGCCGACTCCATTCCCGATGAACACATCACTCTATCTCAACTCATCGGCTACTTTTATTGACTTGCCTGTGATCTCTCCATCATCATCGCCAGAACCACCGCCACCGCCATTCACTCAACGTCAAGTTTCACCAATTGACATTCTAGCAATGCCATTTTCAAGTGGCAAACCAAGGACATATCGAAAATATGAAACAGCTTTCGACACAACAATTACTTTCGAGCAACTAACCTATGAACTTTTACCTAATGGTTGTTTCTTGTCGGCTCTCCTAGCATGGAACTTCACTTGTTCACACTTGGATCATGCTGATGTACGATGGACAACACATGCACGACAAGTTTATGTATTTGATATGCATGGATATACATCAATTGACGATATACCGATAAAAGACGATGATGAGCAAGTTTATCCAAATGTTAATCTGTCTACGAGACGACATTTTGAGCTAGCTACCGAGTTGATTATGCACTCGGATCAAGATTACTTTTATATCAATTTGAAACGTCAGCTACTGAATTCGAATCGAACGGCAAATGACCCATGCATGGCATTTGTGTTTAAAGGAAAGCATAAGAGACAGTTTCACTAAACACCACAAAGTACAACGAGTGCTCGATGCAATGGCTCCTTCTTCACGAACTCTAAATATTTCTTTTATAGAAAAACCAAAAAAAAAAATGATTTGTTATTGATCGACAGTGGTATTTCTGCCTTTATTAGTCTGTCTTCGGTGGCTCATCAACGTGGCTATACAATCGGAAGGCGAGTGAGGATGTGACACATCCCAGAGTTGCAACCAGTAGGGTTTTTTCTTACTGGTACTAGTCTAATCCGGTTAGACTCGCCGGTAGACCGGTATCAATCATTTTTCACTTTTCTCAGCATGTAACAGTCAAACCAGCGCCTCAATTAGTCATGCCTACCTTTGAGTTACTACAGAAATTACTCAAGGCTTCTGTTTTACTATTACAGTGCTTTTGTGAAACATGATTGTTATTGAGTGTTGAAGTATAGCGAGAAAAGTGCCTCTGCCTCCCACTCCTCATCTACTATGACTGACAGACAGAGTTGGCAAGGTTTTCGTGTGTTACAATGATCTATGTGGCTAGGCTTCTCTTTAATGAGTCCATCGCGTTTCACATTTCAATTCCTCAGGGATTACGCTGAAAATTTTTGTTCGAATAAAGTGCTATTTTTTCGTTAACTCCGTATACTTTTAATATATCAAGCGTCCACTTCACCGCCAACAGTACTTGATGGAATTTGTGCAAATACGACATGGAATCAGAATGGCGTCACAGTTGCTGAAGGACATGGAGTAGAATTGTACAGATTATACATCCACAGAAAGAACGAGTATGTTATCGTATCTGTCTACGTTTGTCTCCCATGATGAGTCAAAGTAGCGGGTGTTTTGAAGAAATTGTGAAAGTGTTCTTCTATCGTTTCAATTTTATTAATCGACCGATAATTTCATGTGTTCAAGATTTTCAAAAAACTGTAGTACATCTTGACTTTGTGACAAATCAGATTCAAAGTCAGTGACAGATTCTTGTTATCTCTGATAATTTTGCACTTGTTTATACGATCATTCTTTGTGAATTGAATATCGAGATTCACATTAAATCAACTTAGTTTTCCACACCCAGCGTTCTTGGATGACGATCGTACGGTGTTCGTCGTAGATCTGATCAATAATAGAATAGTCAAATTGATGTTGTTTTGGTTATGTACCATTGCGTTTTCTTGTTTGTTTCCACTTTAGCAATGAGAAAAATACTTTGTCCACAAATAAAACTAGCAAGAGAATTTTTGAAAACTCTATGCCTGGAGTTTCAAGTAAAAGAGGCATGACCGATGGTGACCGAGGAGGCAGACATAGTGAAGCTATGATTATGGATGAAGAGCAAAAATGACAGCCACATCCACACTTAAATCTTATGAAGCCATGAAATCCAGTCAGATCCATGAAATCTCAACAGAAATTATTTGCATCTTTCACAAAATCACTCCCGATGTTCTAAATTCATCAAGCTTGGTATAACAAGCAAAGGGTGTGCGTGGGTGGATGGGTTATTAATCGTGAAAAGTGTTTCATCCCATATTAAACCATCAGTATGTTCAGTAGAACCATTATCTTTATTTATCTGTTAAAAACAAAACAATAAACATTCTTTAAAATGTTAGAAAAATAAAATGACTTTTAATGGTATTATCTCATTGGATTCATCTAACATTTTTTAAACTTTGATAATTGGAAACACTAATAATTTCAAATATATTGCAACATTTTTTTTTTACTTTATATCATTTTAAAAAGATAATTTAAGGATAGTTGGTGATAAGTGATTTAAATGAATTCTAAAAAATGCCAATGTTGATAAAGCTGAACGAAGACGATAACCAGGTGGTAAACATATATACAAACACTAGATAATGTGTGACTGTCGCTAGTTGGTGCTTCTGGGTACGGTGTATGTTGTATAATGTTAGATGTTGGTTTAGGGTGTATGTGCGTTGTATTGGAGTGTGACTATGTTGATGTTGGATATTAAGGATGTGGGTGTGATGATGGGTGGGTTTGAATACGATTGTGGATATGCGGTTATGAGTATGATCGGTTGGAATGACTAAGAGAAGCATGACACGCCATGCATACTGAGATTGTCCTGAACATCTTCACCGATACCGACATCTCATGCCTTGATGAGATATTAGTGTGCATAACGTTTGTAAAATAGTTTATTATACAGAAAGAGGTCAACTATGAAAAAAAAAATTAAAATATTAGTCTCTACAACTTCTATGATATTTGTGAATCATCTATTGCTGTTGATATTTTGAATTTTTCATGGTTTATTTTAAACTCTTTATTCTATTTTGATCCATACCACTATGTAGAGAATGTTTCATTCCGTCAAGTGCAGTATTGCTTAAAATGCTGTTATGTAAAATAAAAGTCGAGTTCGAAAAAAAACGCCACATCTGTTACAAAAAATAGCAGCGGGTTTTTTCGACATGAAAAAAACGGTTCTTTCAGACAAACAATTATAAGTCTAGGAAACTTATGTAGAATTTTTTCATATGGATTTGAATGATAGAACAGACTTCAGACATATCCAGATAATTTCCTATGTTTGTAGGAGTTCGCGTGGACTTTGATCTTTTCTTTATTCATACCTACATCGACGTCTTGATGCGCCGCATGAAATGGCTCTATCGTGTTCCACGTTTTAATCATTTTAGAACTTAGTTGGAAAGCGTTTCCAACATGTTGCGCAACTTTTTTAAGCTATTTTTTAGAAACTATTACGTTGGTCTTCCATTGATATTTTATTAAGTATAACAGTTTTGAAAGGCTCATATCGAGAAAAGACGAAATCTGAAAATTCTAAAAGTATGTACTTAAGCTATTCGATCAATTTTCTTTCTGTTTAAAAATAACGACTGCTTTATTTGATATTTGGAATGTCGCTTCTAAGTCGACGACTTGCTTAAAAATACAATCGAAGGAAATTAGTAAAAAGAAGCGAGCCTTACGAGTGCATACAAAAATAAGTGACATTGGGTTGCTTAATATGATAGTTTCCGTCCTGTTCGAACATTTGTTCTTTCATGACTTTCACTTATTATGCTCGTCAATTACTGTTTGCACAAACGACTTCGACCATGGATTATACTCAAATAGTAACGGAAGTTGAAGAAGCATTCACAGTAAGATTAATAAATACGCATAAGTATCCAACACAAATCATTCGTTCTTATTTTGTTGCTTAGGGTGTTATAACAGTTTCTCAAATTCTTGTTAGAGCATATTTGGAAATACTGTCTTGTGGTTTCGGTACTCTTCCAGTCGATGCACGTTGACAAATGTGGCTCGGTAGAAAGTTATTTGCTCATGCATGTACTAGAAGTACACCATTTATTGACAAAGACCGTGTGATACTTCGACAATTAACTCCAATAAAAAGCTTCGCTTAATTCGAAGAAATCGATCTACGTGTTTGGACTATCAGTATATATAAATAGAGAGAGAGAAAACTTCCTTAAGCCTTTTATAATGTAGTATAGTACTACTATCATTACTATTGCTGTATTCTAAGTATATTATATAAAAGCAATAAAAAAATTCAAGTCTG